AGATAGATAGATAGATAGATAGATAGATAGATAGATAGATAGATAGATAGATAGATAGATAGATAGATAGAAATGAAGAAATCATGCATATCCAGGACTGAAAACTGTTAAAAGTGAAAGTGATGCAACTGTGAAGCAAACCTCTTCCTGTCTTAACTTTTCAGGGTCTATTTGACATTATATTCAGAAAATTGCACATATTTTCCATGACTTACATGAAGTACCTTTTTTTTTCCAACTCAAAAAATTGTTTTCCACATTTTTTGGCATCCCCAAAGCTCAGAGAAATTGGTTTGTGCTTTTGATAAGTATCTTGTAAACAGTATAGGGTTGATATAAAGTGTGAAAAACCGAGGATTATAATAAAACCACGTGTCATCCTCTGACAGAACTTGTCAAAAAAAAGGGTGAAGATTTGAGTGAAGCACAGTCTCAACCATAAAGACATAAGATGTGTCATTTTTACAGGACTTAACTCGTGGAGGTTTTCTGATGATGAACTGAAAATATGTCAAATAAATAAATAAGAGAAAACTTATATTTTTAAGGGTGAGGTACAGTTTTTAATTGTTTTTCTAGAAAGAACAAACTGGAAACCAACAACTGTACCTTTCTTTTTTACATTTTAACAGTATCTGCAAAATTTTAAGGATCCATTAAAACTTTTTTGTTGAAAGGAAAATCAATTAAATGCTTCAACTTGAACATTTTCAGTCAGTTTAGGCCCATARTGAATGAGAGATCTTTTTTACACTCGTTTAAAACACTTGTAAATTTGAAAATCTGTTTTTTTCTTTATATATATCTATAACGTACTTGATTTTTTTTTTATAATGACCAAAAAAAATCTAAGATTTGTCAGTGAAACGTCATCAGTGTTTGAAGTGAATCCACCTGTATGTAGACATACATGCATTTCCAAAATCCTGGTTTATTTATGGCTCATTGTTCAGATATCACATGCAGACATGTGAACCTCTCTTTTCTTTTCTTCTTTTTTTTTTGTATTAATAATGTAATCATCAGAATGAATTATGAATCTTTTCATCTTTGGCTTTTTGAAATGAATGCTTTTCCTGTCAAATCAGATCAACTTCAATTAAAACTAAAACTTGTGTTTCGGCTGTTGCAGGAAATCTGTGGCTGTTTCATCACATACAGATTTATGAGGTGTATTTCAGATTTGTCATCTCCAGGACAATCTGTTGACTGTTCTGTTTGTTCACTGTACACAGCTTCAGTTCTTTCACAAACGTGGGGTTTAAGCTAAAAAAATTTCTCTTTTATTAGAAACGTTAAATCTTCAGGTAAACATGTTTCCCTGCTCACCTTTAAATTAAACTCATGCTTTCAAAAAAAAACTGACAACCTGAAACATTTCCCCCTCTCTTTCCAAGATCTTCATGCTCACTTGAGGCCAAKAGGAGGCAGCGTGAATCACAACGATACGGACAGACAAGGTGGGGGCTGATGGGGGTGGATGAGCTGCTGGCTTCATGGGGAGCTACAGAATCTGAGTCCACAGGGAGGAGAGTGCACCCAGTCGGCTGTAACAGGTGAGAGAGGGGGGGTGAAGAGAAGCTAGCCCAAGGGTGAGACATCTCCGGAGACTCGGTATGCACGGGGCATCATCTGAGAGTCTGCTGGTGTTCACAGGTGGAGCAGAAAAGAGGTGAAGCAGGAGAGGTCTGCTGCAGTTCTTCGTGTAGCTAAAGAATTTACATTTTCTGTGAAAATGCAGTGRGAATGTCCTGAGTCTTGAACTGCTGCAAATATTTATTGAAAAAAACTAAAACTGGTCAAACTGAAAGGCRAACACAAGCTRAAAGTAGCTAAACTCTAGCCTAAAGTGGCTAAAGTTTAGCTAAAGTTAAAGTAGCAAAATGGTAGCTAACAGCTGAAAGAGCAAAAGGTTARTTTAAGTATCAAAAGGCAGTCTAGAAGCTAAAATTGACTCGTTAAAACTGAAAGAATAGGCCTACAAGCTAAAAGTAGAAAAACATTACCTTAGAACTAAAAGTAGCTAAAGCCTAGCCTAAATCAGCTATATATTARCTAAAGTTAAAGTAGAAAAAGGGTAGCTAAATGCTAAAATAAACAAAAGGTTAGTGYAGCTATCAAAAGGCCAGCAAGAAACTTAAAATAGCAAAGGCATAGCTAATTTTCAAAAGTTGCAAATGGATAACTAAAAGCTAAAGGAATCAAAATGTTAATTAAAGTCTAAAAGCAGCAAGTGTTAATACAAAACAATTAAAAGGCAAACTAAAAGTTAAAATAACAAAAGGCAGAACAGTAGTTAAAAGCTAACAGTAGTATAAGACAATAAAATAATATATGCTTAAGCAAATTTTCTGTAGATCTTTAAAAATAAAGTAAAACTTTGACTGTAACCAGTTACACATTRAGGAAACAAAGCAGCCACTGTTCAAAAGAATGGCCCAACACAGAAGATCTACATCATCAGGCCAGGATTCTGCAGAATGTCTACAGGCCAGTGGTCAGTCTTTCAGGGATGAAGATGTTCTCATCCTTGATAGTGAGGAATGTGGGTTTGAGAGAGGAGTAAAGGAAGCCATTTTTGTGAGAAAAGCTGTCCATCATTAAACATTAAACAAACAGAAGATACAAAATGTTTCATTAAAGAAGAACCCATCCAAAGGATCTACTTGATTTTTTTTTTTTGAAAAATTCAAAATGATATTTTTAAAAAAGCCATCTCCTAAGTGAGCAGAATATTTAGATAAACAAATAGCTAAAATAGCACAAAGTGTGCTGAAGTAATTCATTTCAGGGTAACATGGAAAAATGAAGCATCTGTGTCCATGTTTTCCTGTCCTTCAGCTTTCACCTTTCTTTTCATCAGCCTCACACAAACAGCCTGGGCCTTTATTTTCCCAGGCAGCGCAGCAGCTCACACGCTTTGATGAGAGGTCTGAGCTGAAATGTCACAGGGATTAGGAGGTCTTGACTCCTGCATCCCTCTGGATCACCTCCAGCTACCCTGTGTTGCTGAACCTCCTCCCTCCGAAATAAGCGCAGAGTGACATTTCTTTCTGCTACTCTGTGTTCWATAAAACTTCCCCTTTCTGAGAAAATATATGTTCCTAGTGTTTACCAATGAGTGAGGGGGAAACTGAAGATGGCGTCATCTCTGTTAGCTAATATAACATGAACCACTGGATGTGTTTTTTTGGAAACATTCAGAAAATAATTGTTGGATGACTATTGGCAGCCACAGCTRATCAACTATAAGCAACAGAAAAAATGTCTGCTCAGTTTGAGAGAAATTGAGCTAAAATAAACATACTGCCTTGCACATTATAATAGTTGCTGCAGATCTGCAGAATTTTGTCTTTCCATCAAGACGTAGTTGTTGCGAATGGCTGCAACGAGTAAACTCCCCTGTGAGGAAGTGAAGAATCTAAACACRGAAAGCTTAAAAATAGCTCTGATGATGATGACTCAACTGAAAACGTGAAATTCTGGATTCATCAGCTTTCTTAATTAAGAAGCATTTGTTCAAAATATGCCACAAGGAAGGAGAAAAAAACAAAATAAATCAAAGAACGTCAGTGAGATTCTTTTTTTTTCCTTGACACCTGTGACTCTGTGAAAGCACAGATTGCATTCATTCACCGAAGGAAAACGACCTTAATCAGAGACATTGTTTGACGAAAAAGTCGCTCTATGTGAAGCTCATTCAATATGTTTTGTGTTTCTTTTTGGGTGGGGGGGGGAGTGAAAGTGCTTAGAAAGAAATCTGGGTCATATCATTAATATGCGAGCCAGGTGTGCAGCACAAAGAGGATTAGAGAGGAGTAAAACCACCGGGGCTCGGTGTGTCTCTCTCGACTTCTTCCCATCTCTGCCTCACTCAAACCAACATGTAACTGTTCCTTCATGTCACCTCTGACAGAATAATAACGGTGGGCAGTTCATGCGTGTGATAAAGTGTCCTTAGATTAAATTTTTAAAGCTCTTATCAGAATTTCTCCTGCTTTTATAAAGTATATATTTAACAAAATAAGCTATAGATTATAATAAAGTGAAAAGTGAAGCAAGTGTTGTCTTTTTTCACTACAAACTTCATAGGTTTACAGTCTATAGTGGTGGGCAGCACTAATCTAAATATTAACTCTAAAGCACTAGCTCAAATATTTAGGTCTCCTAACTCTAAAACACTAACACACCGAAAAAATAGCAAAAGCTAATTCTAAAGCACTAAAATAGTCCAGCTAATTCTAAAGCACTAAAATAGTCCAGTTGACACGTGAAACATTCTTCAGTCAACATGAGACAATATTTACTGTGTGCTGAATGTTGTCACTTAGTGCCCTTGGTGGGTCAAATGGGAGTCACCTGCAGGCCACTTTTGGCCTGCGGGCCTTGAGTTTGACACGTGACCTTGTAGATAAGTGACACGCGTATGAACAAAATGTATGACAGCTTTCRCCCTCAACTGTGAACAATAACGTTGATCAATAACGTTTATGGACCTCAGTTAGTGCTTCTAAATTTAGCCCATTAATTTTGCAAGTGCTAATCCACTGATTTWAAAAAAAAWAGCAAAAGCCCTAAAGCACTAATCAAGAAATTAGTTCCCCTATTAGTGCTTCAGGGGAACCGTGCCCACCACTGATACTCTCAAACCAGGGCCAGCTCTAGCCAATTTGGCGCCCTAGGCAAAATTTCAGGTGGTGCCTCTTGTGCAAGTTTTTAAATTTCACTGCCAACTTATACATTCACATGCCAAAAAAATTTTTAAACAGTTGTGTTAAATGTAATGAAATAAAAGTCATGTAGTAATGGCTACAAAACCCATAGAACTACCTYCATAAACCTGAGTAATCARTGATTATTCCTCCTCCGTTTRCAACGCCCCTACGATGAACGTAGCCTTAACATCCTTAACATCTCAAGCCTATGCCACAGACCTTTCAGCATCCCCCCCATAAGCTGCTCAGAACTTCATCTCATGAGAAAATGTTCTCCGAGGAGCATTAATCTGCAGAGATCCTGCTGCCCGAGCTTCAGACAAACCGAGCCACAGGACATTTTCATCATTTTGCACAGCCTGGCCAACCTTTGCACAGATCAGAGCTTTATTTGTCCAGAGACAGAACCCAGCAGGGKTTCAAGCTGAGCGCTTTATCATCCAACCAAAGAGGAACCAATAAAGCTCGGGCRCACCAAACTGCCTGGGTCGCACTGAGAGGGGAGCGGCGACTGCAGTGAAAATGTCTTAAGAGCTGAAATTTAGCACAGCTGATCTGCGAGAAAGTGCGAGGCTTTGCTGCAGCAGAGTACAGTAAGTTTGGCTGCGTGAACGTCTTGGTTTTTCTGAGATAATAGAGCTSAGAGAGGTGTAAAAAAAACCTTTTGCAATTTGCCATGCTGAGTGCTTTGAGAGAGATCAAGGACTCTGAACAGAGAGGGAGAGAAGTATGCAGAGAGAAAAAAAGAGGTGTAGAGAAGCATCAACCTGTTCATAGCTTCCAGTCACTTTCTACCCATTTAGACTTCTGGGTTCCACCATCAAAGGCTTTTTTCTGGATRCTAAAAAAAAACTGCTTCCTGTGGTGGGTATCAAAGCTTAAACTAATTAGCTTTCTAACCCCAACATGTGTATTTGCTGCAGGAGGCATAACTCATATAAATACTTTGTCGGATTTACATTTCTTATCTTGTGAATAATTGTTCACGGCTCTGGGCCTGTGCAGTCAGGTTTACAGGCTGAAACCAGGCAGGAAGTGGAGCTTCTGTTTGCATTCTGCTTCACACTGCACACATTTTATAGAATGTGTTTTTAATTATTACGCTGAGGTTTTTTTTTTCTTCCCAAGTGTTAAAGTCAATTTTGTGATTTATCTATTTTTTATTTATTTCTATAAATATACAGTAATACAAGTTCCTTAATTCTCTATTCAGTAGATTGTTTTATACTTTTTGTTTTTAGATGGTACAATGACATCAAAATGAGATTTGTGCTGATTATAATGGAGCATTTTGAGATGTGTAACACAATATAAAGTTGTTTTGTTGTTCAATGAAACGACACTACTGAATTCACATTATGTGTTGAATTTAATTTCAATAACTTCACCTGAAGCACGTTATTATGATTTATGACCCAGAGTCCAAGTAAAGTGTCACAKTAAAAACACTAAGCTACAGTTATTAAAAAAGATATACAGTAATATCATATCTTGTCCTATATGGAATTAGGATTAATTTAAAATCCTAATTATAAACTTGGAAACAGAAGTTGCTGTTTGTGACCAACCACTAATCTGAAAGTTTGGCCATCTTGAAGCTGTCATTAAAGATGACACATCATGCATCATGGGTAAAACACAAAGAAAGCAGGGGAAAAAAACTTCTTCTGATCCCTTTATCTATAACCACTCTAGTGTGGATTTAGCACTTTCTCCGTGCCAGCAGGGAAGCTTAAGCAAAGCTTAAATAGCTATTATAAAGCAATTAAGTTGTGGGTGCTGACATATGCATCTTCTTGTGCCATCTGTTTATTTGGTAAAGGGTGTCTGTTAAACTCCAGCTCAAAATGTTCACTGAGTTTTCCAGCATGCCACTGCCTSCTACTGCTGGGATTAAGTATTGCTGTGGGAATTAAAATAATCCGACAACATAATGATAGGATGACAGCTTGAATTAGTCTCACAGTGAGCACTAAGTGAGCCATCTTAATTCACTTCATTCACTCTGATGCATATCTTCCACATCTGAATAAAATCTTGGCCCTGGAAGATGCTGATGTTTACAAGTTCTGTTTCTGTATTGATTTGATTTGATTTGATTTGATTGATTCAACAGGAAAAGATTATTAAAAATCAAGCCCGACTCAGCATAATTGCTGTTTTACAGCAGGTTCCTGTTCTGCAGCACATAAAACACTCAGAAATACAGCCCCACAATCACATCATTATACACCATARACACAAAGACAAACAAGCATAYCAAATTTCARRAMKRCAGCMTTTGCAAAATAGGACRTCTAAATATGAGCASAACAAAAAGTGTCCAGCAGATGGCAGACAAGATTCTTCTTAAAGGGCTGTAGTTTTGAAATGGACTTTATGTTTTGAGGAACGTCATTCCATGCTTTAGTATAAACATAGAAGAAAGACCTCTGGCCGTAACAGTTTTTAAAAGTTGGTAATATCAGTATCTGTTGCAGAAAGTTCATTTGATTACATAGCCTGCAGGTATCATTTATTAATCGATTCAAGCTTACTACTCAGTCTGTTTTCACATGGCGCTTCAGAGAAAAGATATCATGAGAATGCTGATTCAGCATTCCCACTGTTGTTTTCCTGTTTTTTGTTTTCAGTGCCTTTCTGAAACCAAACTACTTCTCCAGTTTTAACCATTCAAATATTAAAACATTCAGATCAGCTGGGAATAATGTGCTTTACTTTTTGGTACTCACAACATTTTTACATTTCAAAATGTTTAACTTTAATTGATTATTGATTCAAGTTTTGCTCATTCTTAACTTTTAGCAGCAGTTTAGTTAATTTTAGCCTTTAGCTCTTGTTTTACTATTTTCAGTTTTTGGCTACAAGGTTCTTAATTTTAGCTTTTAGCTGCACCTACTGTTTTTTTCCCTTAGGTTTTAGCCACAGTTTTATTGATTTTAGCTTTTAGTTTTAATTTTGCTCACTTTAGCTTCTGGCTAATGTTTTACTCATTTGAACTGTTAGCCACTGTTAAGCAAATCGAAACTTTTAGTTACAGTTTTGATAGTTTTAAATTTTAGGTACTGTTTTGTTGATTTTAGCTTTTAGTTTGAATTTAGCTCTATATTTAGCTATTGGCTAATGTTTGTAATTTTTAGCTATACTGTTAAGCTAATTTAAGCTTGTAGCTAAAGTTTTGCTAGTTTTGAATTTTGCTAGTTTCTCTCTAAATCTCCCCATATCTTCATTTGATTCTTCTTCATGCGTCTAGAGATATCAGTGGTACAGGATCTGAAGAGCTCCACCTCAGAGCCAGTTTTACTCCTGGGACTGAAGAGAATGCTTTGAAGCTGCTTCTGATTATGCATACCTGTGCACACAAGCACAGCTGACAGCACGCCCGCGGAGGTGCATGTTTGCATATTATTATATTATTATATACATGCATATTTTTCTCTTCTGATTTACGTCTCACTCTGCAGCTCCGTGAAGAAAAGGGAAGAAGAAAAGGCCCCCTGCAGAGGAGATGTTGAAGATCGTAGCTGGAGCTGACAGTGAGGACTTTAGAGGCTCACCCTCAAAAAAGCTGAAAGTGATGAAGAAGAGAGTAGAGGTGAAGGTGGGCCTGTTATTTAGAGACACTTCACAAAATTACATAAAAAAGTTTGTGATGTGAAACAGAAGAGGAAAAGGTTTACAAAGCAGAGTCGAGTCAGTAAAGACAGCAAGGTTTATGTCAACTTATAAAATAGTTTTCCATGTCATCTCTCAAATTATGGTTTATTTAAAACCAACAAGTCATATCTGACCTTTTGTATGACACTCATGCTAACAGCTCAATGGAGACATCGCTGCTAAAACTGACAACATTGTTTCAGAACCATCCAGGAAGTCAAGAATTACAAAATAAATAAATCTGTTTTGACAGTCCTGTGTCAAAATTAGCCAAAAGACGTTTTTTTCCGTGACATGATCTACTTCCAGCCCTCTTCATATTGAGACTATTTTTTAAAAATAATTCCGAGCACAGAGCTGTTGCAGATCCGATGCTCTCCCAGGAAACACAAACTCAAACAGATGGGAACTGGGCTCACGTTGTGCATTTCTAATGGGAGCCTCAGAGACACACATGTTGGAGTTAAGAGACTGTCTGCCAAGCTTAATGTCATGRATGAACACAAAATGAGACTTATTCCTGGTCATAATTCAGATGTCACTGTCATTACAAACTCTATTAACATACTCAGTGTCACTTTCACTGTTCATTATGCTACTTTTGTCGTATTATTTGCATTTTTTACGACACTTGGACCATGTGTTCTGCCACTGGTGGGATTTGTTMAAACGTATCAAAGCCGTTTAATTCAATTGGTGACAGTTTCTAATTTTTTTTTATCATCCTTCAGAGATCATCTCCTGTTTATTATGTTAAGTTTTTTTTTCTTTTAGTCTGTGGTCAGATTGTTCACATGCTGAAACAGAAGAAGGTCGTGCTAAACAGGAAGTGGACTGGTGTCATGATCTGGCAAACAGCAAAAGAACAAAAAGGAACACTAAAATAAAAAATAAAGGCAACAAAAGGTTCACATCTTTGACATAAAAAGAAACACATTTAAGGGGTAAAAGATTTTTCCAAAATAAAACAAGAAAATGGGAAAATTATGAGCAAAACATAAAACCAGAGCTTCACACCATCAGCATTTGGAGACCTGGTTGCAGTTTTTAACATTTTGTTGTTTTTTWAATACGTTTTTATCTTCTCTAAAGAAATATTTTAGATATTTTTCCGCCCAACCCCCTCCGTAAACATCCTTTTTCCTCTCCTCCAAATGAAGACATAAGTTTGCATAATGATTTCTGCCTCCTAGAGCTGATCTGAAAATAATCCAAGCAAATCCCTCCTCCCAACAAGCTCATTTATTTCAGTTCTGTCTAACAAGACGTTTGGTTGCCCCAGGATCCAAGTAAAGGCATGTAAGGATCTTCAGCAGAACATGGGTCCTCTGGGGTTTCAGAAACACATTTAATAGAGAGTTTATGTTTACAGTAAATTGATAGATCCTCTGCTCGATCCAACTAAAATTGAGAAAACTTGGATTTAACCCARACATTGTTTTCAGCTTTCAATGTTTTTCAGTGGGCAAGGAGTTTTAAGGTTTCGTTGCCTTCAAGAGCCCCTCCTGATAGCCTATATGTTTCTAATAGTTTTGCTTTTCAAGATGAAATTKGTGCAGAATATTGTAGCTTTTGTGTTGTAATAAACCCTGCAGTCACTCCAACATGTGAACTATGAAATGATTTGTCACATTTTAATTCTTCCTTTGAATCATGTTCCAGTTCTGCTGTTTGTAGGTGTGTTCAGCAGTGAAAGGAGATCAGGATGGACACAATATCCAGTTTGTGGTTATGCAATCCCACTAGTTTAATA